TCTGTTTTGTGTATGAGGAAACTGACTCACACAGGGGTATGGCAATTTTCTCATTCACGCTGGGAGTTATTACCAGAACCATGAATGAAACTTAGGATGAAACTCTGTTTCATAAACCATTAAATCCTGTATCCTTTACAGTAGTGGAGTTTACAAAAATAATGACCCCTTTGCGTTGAGAGTTTGTTCCTTTATTCTGTTATTAAATCTTGGCTTATGTGGGGAAGAAACACCTTGCTACAATACCAGTTTGAGTTATTCTGCAATGTGAAGAAGATGGGAAAAGGTGTGCTTTTTGGCGATGCCCAGACCATTCAGAGTTCATTGTTTTCATTCATTAATTCATTCCATTATCATATATCTGAGTTCCTATTGCATCACTAGGAAAATGGACATAGTAATATTACCATTAGCAAAAGGCTGTTTTGAGAAGTAAGATAATTTCTATAAAGCACATTGCCTAGCACATAGTAAGCCTTTATACTTGATAATTATTATCATTAAACAAGTATTATAATTGCAAGTGCCACATGGAAAAACAAAAAATGGTCTTTTTACAGCCCTATTTATGGGTGAAGAAGTTAAGGTTGCATCTGAAAGGTGGATTAATTCCTGGGGAATAGCTAGATCACTCCAATTAAAAACTGGAACAGAGAAGATGGGTTTCAGGTAGACCAGAGAGGGAACCTGGTCTTTCAGTTTGGACTATGATGTGTCCGGAGAGCTGGGAAGGCATTGCTGGGTACTGGATGTGAAATTGACACCAGTCACCTAGAAATGGGCTGGGAATGAAGATGCAGAGAAAAGAAACACAGACAAAATTCATATGAAATGGAGGGAGCTTCTATGGTAGAATCAAAGCCTTATACACAGACAGGCCAGCCTGTTAAACTGCCCTGTATTTTCTGTGTTTACTTCCCATTATCCTTCCTTAGTACTGAACGAAGTTTTTGTCCAGTTCCCACCTGTCTCACCTGTGTTCGGGACACTCGAGGGACAGCTGCTAATCTGGGGCAGGGTTTCAGAGCTGCAGCAGGGATTCCCCCAAGAAGAGCCAGCACAGGGAGACTCTCTTTCTGTGGCTCATTTGGGATGAGATGAGTTTGATATGATAGGAAACTGCTACTTCCTTATAGCTTATTGTAATTTCAGTCTGTTACGTGCCCTAAAAATTGGGTTTAAATTCTTCCTGGATTCAGGCACGAAACCCAGATGCTGTAAAGGAAAATATTGGTAGGTTTGACTTCATAAAAGGTAAAAACTTTTGTGCGACAAAAGACAGCAAAAAGAAAACTAAATGGAAAAACAACAGACTGGAAGTAAATATTTGCAAATTATAATACGTATTTTATTTTTCTTTTAATTATTTTTTCAGTTACAATTGACATTCAATATTATATTAGTTTCCAGTGTACAGCGTAGTGATTAGACATTTACATAATTTATCCAGTGATCACATATTTTAACATGATATAACAAGAGAGACTATCCATGGTACAGAAAGAGCTCCTATAAATCAGTAAAAAAAAGGGAAATCCAGTGGACAAAAGATATACATAGGTAATTTCAGAAGAAAAAACATGAAGTGCTCATCTCCAATAGTAATTAAGGGAATGCAAATTAAAACAAGATGCCATTTTGTTTGCCCATCGAAGTGGCAAAAATTAAAAAGATTTATACTACTTTGTATGGGCAAAGGTAAAGGTAAATTGGCAGTTTCTTTTACTGAGGGTAGAATTGTAAACTGGTGTAGTCTTTCTAAGAACAGTTTTGGCAGTATCTGTAACCATTTAAAGTATGCCTCCTTTGATACAATTTCACTTTTAGGAATCAATACTATTTAAATATGACCACATGAAGGCAAAAATACAAGCATGTCCACTGCGACAACGTTTGTGACATAATACTAAAAATAACTAATATTTATGGAGGCCCAGAACTCTTCTAAGCACTTTATAACAACCATTATGAGGAAACTGAGACACACACAGCTAGTGTTTGGTGGTGGCAGGATTTTAGCTCAGGCAATTAGTCTTCAGTGTGTGTCTTAACTACCATACTCTTTTTCTTTTTAAGATTTTTTTTTTTAATTGGGGAATTGGGGTAAGGGGAACAGACAAGTTGCTGTCCTTTTGTTCTTCAGTCTAGTTGTGGAGGACGTTGCTTCACTGGCCCAAGTTGGCACCATCATTGCGCTTTTCCTGGGCGAGGCAGATCAGTCGCCAGCTTCTGGATGGCCGCTCAAGGAGGCTGCTGGCTACACACGGTAGCCCATGGCAACCCACTGCCACAGGGACTGCAGCCCACGCCGTCGCCGGCGACTCATAGGCAGCCCAGCTCCAGGTTGAGCTGTTGTTCAGCATCTTAGCTGTGGAGGGCAGTGTCACTGGCCCTCATATGTGGGATCCGAACCGGGGCCCTTTGGCATCCCAAGCCAGCTCTTAACCAACGCGCCACTCGGCCGGCCCAACTACCATACTCTTTAATTGAGAGTAAATAAAAGTATGGTACGTCTGTACTATGGAATATCATACAGCAGTTAAAAAGAAAGAGGTAGATTTCTGCGTACAGACATTTCTGTGTCTTAGAGGCATCTCTAAGACATTATTAATCAAGGGAAAAACTCAAGTTGCAAAACACTATAATATGGTATAATGCCATATATGTGGGAAAAAGATACATATGCATATATACAAATACCTATGTATGAGAATGGATAAAGGTCTTGAGTAAGAGAATGAGTGTGTGGGGGGAGTAATTTTTCAAAATATGTTCTATGTATTTCTGGTTTGTTCAAACTTTTACAAGAATGCATTTGTGCATTACTTCGGTAAAACAAGAATGGTTTTACTGACCAAAAATAAAATAAAAAGACAAAAGGTTTAATTCAGATCACAAGATTAGTCTTCTTTTCTTCCATGCAAACCATGATGTAGGTCTTGGATAGACAGACATCTTCCTAGCCTATGTAAATGACCGTAGTAGAAGGTGCTCAGTATCTGAATCTTGTTGATCACTACTTTTTTCTTTTTAAATAAAACTTTCACGTCCAGTATTTGGAACTATGGCTTCCTGTTAGGCCACCAAGTTCCATAAACATATACAGCCAGTCACTGAAAAATTAATTTGGAACCTGAGAACCACATGGTGTTCTTTTTGCTTTGCATATTATATCGTCATTAGGAAAAAGGACCTGTAATCATGGATTATCTCAGTAATTTGCTCCAGTGCATAGGCATGAGTGCAGCCTCACCCTGGCCTCATGGTGTGGTCTGTGGAGGCATGAATGAATCACTTGACACACAGACCTAAAGGACTCACCTTTTCACCACAAGCCAGCGTTACTACTGGGAAGAAAAAAGCTGTATTGGTTCCTGCAGGGCTTCCTTCTGCCTAAACCCAAGTGAGGGTGGCTTTAACACAAAAGGAAAGTGCTCCTGGAACACTGGTGAAAATCTACTCTTACAAAGTTAGGGCTTTAGAACCAAGTTGCCTAGCTTTGGGCTTATCGCTGACATGCCAGTGAAAATGGTTCTTAGAATTCCTACTACTTAATGGGTATCAGATTATAGCTTTTTTCAGAGTGGCCCATCCATAGTTTTTTTTCAGTTATTAAAATTTTAATGTTCTCCTAAGCATCTTTACAGAAAAAAAATCCCCTTCACTTAAAAACAACTGTATTCTCCTTCCGTTCTTCACAGCTGCTCATTTTACACCGTTTTAAATAGTGCGTACCAACTATTTTGTGCTTGTTGTTTCATTTAACCTCGTTTCCGATACATCTTTCCAAGTACTTGCCAAAATTTCATATGCTTCACGTGCATCCTGCATACCTGCCAGGGTTCTTTCTATTAATGCGACAGAGCTGGTTTAGATTCTTCCCCAATTGTTGGACAATTGGGTCCATTCCCAGGTTTTGGTCATTGTGATCATTCTGAACAGCCCTGCTATAAACATCTTGATGCAAGTTCTCCCCCTCCTTTCCCCCTTTGGATCATTTCCTTAGAAATGTATTTCCTTAAATGGGTTTACTGGGTCAAAGGGGTTCAATGGACAGTTTTATAGCCCCTGGCACATATTTTTCAGATTGCGCCCTCGGCGGATCTGGCCAAGGGCACGGGACCGGAGAGGGCAGGAATGTGGAGGAGCGGCCCCTAGAACCACCCCTCTTCCGCCCCCCAAAAGGCAAGGGCCTCGAGAAGGCCTGCAGCTGGAAAGCCTTTTTCTATCGCCCTCTTGTTCTCGTCATGATTAGGGCTTCAGTCCAGGCTGGGAGACGATTGTTAGGCACGCGCAGTTCTGCCAGGCCCTCCTGCCCCAGGTCTGGGGTTCCAACCCCCCGTCCTGTTCCCGAGTTTCCCACTCCTCTTGCTCATTCTCCCAGACTTCCCACTAAAATCTTCGTGGCCCAGGCCGGCCACTTCCAAGCGCAGAGCTCTGCAGGCGAGGGTAGCGGCCGGAGGTCGCTGTTATTTTGGCGCGACTGAAGCAAGGCCCGCATAGCTGGGAGCTGAGTCAGCCGGGGCCAGGCGTGGGTGGGGGGCGCGGATCCATCCCTTCCCCTCTGAACCCCCTACTCCCGCCCCAGCCGCAGCAAGTCGGGACCCGCCGGAGAGGAAGCGGGAGGGAGGGCCGGCCTCGGAGTCCGCGGGGTCGTCCGTCCGGGCCGGGTCTGGCGGGAGCGGAGCCGCGGGCCGTCCAAACCCGGGGCGCGCTGTCTCCTCCCCGCCGTGGAGCTCGGCGGGTCAAGGGAGGCGGTGACCGCGCGCCCGGCCATTTACTCTCAGAATTCAAAAAGGGGGAGGAGGAAGCGGGGAAGGAAAGGGGCTCAAGAAAAAAATATGCAGCGGAACGGACAGGAAGAAACGCAAAAAAGGAGGAAAAAGGGCGAGAGCAGGCGGAGGCTGGAGGGCGGGGGCCGAGGCGCGCGCGGGTCGCGCGGGGTCGCGCACGGGGCGGGGCGAGCGGGGGCGCGCGCCGGCGGCCGCGGCCCGAGGGGCTTGTGGGTAGCGGCTGCGCGCGGCCGGAGACGGGCGCCGTGCGCGGGTGTGTAAGGGGACCGGGCTCTGGAACTGAGGCAGCCGGCGGCGATCATGGGAGTGGGGTTGCGGCGGCCGTAGTTGTCCGAGCCTGGGCTTCAGCCTTCCGGAGCCCCAGAGGACCGGGCAGTCCGTGCCCAGCGGTGGCGGCGCCGCTTGCCCACTCCCGCCCTCGGAGTCCTGAGGGAGCTCACGGCAGACGAACGGACCGGGCGGCGCGAATCCGACTGAGGGGCGGGGACGCCGCCGTCGGCTCCTCGCCGCTCCCGGCTGCCCCTTGGACTGCCCCAGGCCCGGCGCTGAGATCCGAAGCCGGAGCTAGAGGCGGACGGTGGGCCCGGGCGGAGCCCCGCCCGGAGCCGGCGGTTCGGGGGCGGCGCTAGGCCCCGAGGCGGCCGGGCCGGAGCGCGGGGAGCGGGAGTGCGGGCACGGCGGCGTCGGCATGAGCCGGCCCCCGGCGACGGGGAAAATGCCCGGCGCCCCCGAGGACCTGCTGGGGGACGGGGCGGGCACGAGCCGCCAGAGGAAGCTGGAGGCGCTGATCCGAGACCCTCGCTCGCCCATCAACGTGGAGAGCTTGCTGGTAAGTGGCCGGGGCCCAGGCGCCCTGCCGGCGAATAGCTCAGATCTCAAGTCCCCCCCTGCCCACCCCTCTGTGCCCACCCATCCCTGTGTGTGTATGGGGGGGCGCGGGTAGAGGTCTCGCCCTACCCCGCCCAGCTTCCGGCAGCCGGGGCCCGGGTGGGAGACCCAGCACTTCTGCGACGAAGTTCCAGGAGTAGAGCTCCCCCTTTGATGCTGCACCTATCCCCCTGGAGCTGGTGTCAAGCCAGGCCGCCCTTGACTTGGAGCACGGGGAGAAAACGCCGCGTTTCTCCTTCCCGCCTGCCCTCTCGGCTTGGGGAGGTAGGGTGGAGGAGTTGCTGCCCGTCATAGCCCAGACGAGCCGATTTTAAAGTGTCATGCTGCGTGGGGACTTGGGTCCACGCGAGGGAGAAACCCGATACTGTCCCTGCCCACCTGGGGCAGATGACAAAGAGCTGCCCTCACTCTCTCCATCAAGTCTGAAATCTGGAGACACACAGCCCAAGTTTGTCTGTTTTCAGTTGTCTTGGAACATTCGTAGTCGCAATTTAGCGCGTTTTAATTTCAGTAAATTTAATTTCCCGAGATGATTGCGCCAGAGCGTAAAGAAGCAATCTGAATTGCAGAGTGGCGTAAATCTCTCCTTTTCATTATTGTATCTCCTTCCTGTGACGGCCTTTGAAATTCAAATTAATAGCCACTCAAGCCTGCTAGTTGGCTCTTGATTAAGAAAGGACGATGTTTTTACAGATCAGAACTGCACCGTAGAGTCCTTGCTTATTTCTTGTTTTTGTTATGGTGAACGGTTGTATTTCACAGACAATTTGATTAGCATGCAGAAGAGATGCATTTATGGGAAAAGGGGGTGTGGATTTTTACCCTGGGGAGGAGAAGGAAGCGAAAAGGATGCTCTGGACGTTCAGTTAACTCTGGAGGACTTTCAGAACCCAGTGGGTGACGCTTGTGTTATGTCTTAGATGTTCCCTAACAGAACTCACGTTCAGTCCTACTCCCTGCTGGGAGAAACCTAGTGACTATAGGAGAAAAACTGTCTCCTCCCTTTCCAGTGATTGACTTTTCTTCAGAAGCCGTTGGTTATCCTTTGAGGTTTCTGGAATCATTTGCGGAGTGACTCAGTGCTGTTTGGCCAAAGTGCAGGAACTGACTGAGGAGTGTGTCTTTCTGTACAGTGTGCAGAACGTAGTGATGTACTGTATCCTGTCAGACGCGTTTGATGTTTTCTTTTACTGATTTTCACTTTAGTGTGTTGTTTGTGTGTTTTCTTGGGAGCGTGACACGTCGGACAGTCTGTAGAAGTCTTCAGTTGGAGGTAGGATTGGTTACATGAATCTTCCTGAGCTAAATCAGAGCCTCTGGGCTTCACTCCCAGCATTTTCACTTTGGTATTTTGCTAGCAAAACTTTGACCTAAGGCCAGAAAGTTCAGTTAAAAATAGCACAGCAAATCTCAAATATTCATCAGGTTCATATTCAATCCCAGTTAGAATTAATTTTACAATTCATTTTCATCTCTTGGGTCTTTGCTGATGTTAATTATATATTAGGATTATTCTGAGCATGAACCTAAGCTATTTATCGATGTAATATGCATTCTGTTTTATTAAAGTATTTTCTAAATTATTAAAATGAAGGCGGTTTTTAAAAATGAGGCATTACACATGCTCAGTATTCAGTTTGGTCTATTCATTTGTTGACAATCAATCAATATATGTAGCCAACACACTTTATACTTTTGTTAAGGTGACATATTACTGGTATGACAATTGACATCAGATGCTGACTCGACAGACTTTGTCATTGCTGTTTTTTGTTTTTTGTTTTGTTTTGTTTTTTAAGATTTTTATTAGGGAATTGGGGGGGATGGGAACAGTGCTGGGGAATTGGGGGAATGGGAACAGACAAGTTGCTGTCGTTTTGTTCTTCAGTCTAGTTGTGGAGGGCATTGCTTCACTGGCCCAAGTTGGCACCATCATTGCGCTCTTCCCGGGCGAGGCAGATCAGTCACCGGCTTCTGGATGGCCGCTCACTGCGGCTG